GTACATAAAGCATGTGCTGTAGTACCTGACACTTATAAATATTCAGCAGGGCCTCAAACAATTTGGCAGATGGTTGGTGTTTAATAAAGATTTGCTGTATGATAGCAAATTTTAAAATGTTATATGTAATGTTATAGTAGCTAGGGAAGACTAATGGTATATTGTTAAGCAAAGGTAGTTACTGTGACATCAAATTTATTTAAAAAATAATATATAGAAAAAATATATAGGAAGAGAGGAGAGAGACAGTCATTGAAATATAAATAATGGTTATGTACAGAGAAGATTCTGAGAGACTTTTCATTTCTATTTTATGCATTTCTTGTTTAACCCAAACATCTCTCAGTCTCCTGGAGTCATTTATCCCTGTAATAACCAAATGTCTTGAGTTCCTACCCCAGGTAACAGCAGGGTCTATACTGTTTACCCACCTATCCTCCTCCACGGTAACCTTCTTATACGCCTATTCATGAATCAATCCAAGCTACAGTCAGGTCTCCCAGTCCCTGGGTTCAACCCCTGCAGCTGCCGTCTGCTTTCATCACCTCTGTCAGGCATGTACCATTCACCTCTTCACTTTCATGGCCCCAAACGACCATGAATACAAGGCTAGTGTAGTAAACAACTTCCACTAAATTGTTGATAAGTGTATTTCCACACAGCATCTAATGGGAAACAATTTAAAACTGAATACTTTTCATGTGCCTATTGGCCATCTGCATTTCCTCTTTGGAAAAAATGTCTCTTTAGGTCTTTTGCCCATTTCTTTTAAATCAGGTCGCTTGTGTTTTTGGTGTTAAGTTGTATAAACTGTTTATATATGTTGGATACTAATCCCTTATGGGTCATATCATTTGCAAATATTTTCTCCCATTCAGTAGCTTATCTTTTTGTTTTGTTGATGGTTTCCTTTGCTGTACAAAAGGTTTTAAGTTTAATTAGGTACCATATGTTTATTTTTGCTTTTGTTTCCTTTGTTTTAGGAGACAGATACCAAAAAATATTGCTATGATTTATGTCAAAGACTGTTCTGCCTATGTTTTCCTCTAGGAGTTTTATGGACACCAGGGAAATGCAAATGAAAACTACAGTGAGAAATCCCCTCACACCTGTAAGAATGGCTATCATCAAAAATAACACAAGTAGCAAATGTTGTTGAGGATATGGAGAAAAGGGAACACTTGCACACTGTTGCTGGGAATGTAAATTCGTGCAGCCACTGTGGAAAATAGTATGGAGGTTTTTAAAAAACTAAAAGCAGAACTACCATATGACTCAGCAATCCCACTCCTGGGTGTATATCTGAAAAGAACAAAAACACTAATTCAAAAAGATATATGCACCCAATGTTCATAGCAGCATTATTTACAATTGCCAAGATATGGAAGCAACCTAAGTGTCCATCAACAGATGAATGGGTAAAGGAGATTTTCCTGTTGGCCACCTGCATTTTCTCTTTGGAAAAATGTCTCTTTAGGTCTTTTGCCCATTTTGGGGGTAGAAATAAATTTAAAAATATATTTATATACATAAGGAATACTACTCAGCCATAAAAAAGAAAGATTTTTGCCATTTGCAGCCACATGGATCGACTTGGAGGACATTATGCTAAGTGAAATAAGTCAGATGGAGGAAGACAAATCCAGTATGATATCACTTATAAGTAGAATCTAAAAAATACAACAAACTAATGAATATAACAAAAAAGAAGCAGGCTCACAGATATAGAGAACAAGCTAGTGGTTACCAGTGGGGAGAAGGAAGGGGGAGGGGCAACATAAGGGTAAAGAATTAAAAGGTACAAACTATTAGGTATAAAATAAACTACAATTTCTACTGTATAGCACAGGGAACTATATTCAATATCCTGCAGTAACCTATAATGAAAAAGTATCAAAAGGAATATATATATGTATATACATGGATGACTGAAACATGCTGTACATCAGAAATTGACACAACATTGTAAACTGACTATAGTTTGGTAAAAAAATAAAATAAGCTACAAGGATGTTTGTACAACACAGGAAATACAGCAAATATTTCATAATAACTATAAATTGAATATAACCTTTACAAATTGTGAATTACTATATTGTACACCTGTAACTAATATAATATTGTATATCAACTATACTCCAATCAAAAAAACCCTGAATACTGATATCTTAAAGAGAATCTTCACTGGCTGTCTTTTGCCCTAGGCCTTAGCCTACTACCCTTTTGCAGGAGCTGCTCCTCAGGCCAGAAACTCTTCCCTTCCATTTACCCTCTCTTTTCTTATTCCTGGAATACCCAGCCTCTTTCTCCAGACTGCTCCCTGAAAAAAATGTAAGTTCTTCTTTTTATCTGCAAAGCAATTTAATTCTTAGTCCTCACCCCAGACTAGACTCTGGACCCATCTTGTCTTTCACAGAAGGTTAACTGTTGGGAACTTTTGTAAACAATAAAGCCAAATATCCCTGATCTGCACCCTTAGCTAAGCAAAGAGACAACATATGCAAAGTCATGATTTTCCCCTAATTGGAAATTTGCTGATGATATCTGGAAAGTAAGAAAATTCAAATTCTTGGATGTGCTCTTTTTTCTGTTTTTTATTTTTTAATTTGTTATTTATTTTTAATTGAAATATAGTTGATTTAACATGTGTTAGTTTCTGGTGTACAGCATATACATACATATATATTCCTTTTCATATTCTTTTTCATTATAGGTTATTACAAGGTATTGAATATAGTCCCCTGTGCTCTACAGTAGGACCCTGTACTAACTACTATATATAAAATATATCTGTTCATTTTTAATCACAACAAAATTAGAAGTAACGTTTTTGTTTGTCTGCTACAGATATTTTCCAAATGCTTTACAATGAGCATGTATTCTGTAATAAAATAAAATACAGTAAATATTATAAAAATATCAAGTGCTGCTTATCATTGAATGTCTCCAAAGTACTTTATAAGTTTTTATTTCAGAAAATAGCCCCTAAATTAGTTTTGTGCCAGTCTGGCTCCATGCCTTAAGCCCTCCCTCACCTGCCCTGCTCTCCATCTCCTGCCTTTTCTTTCTCTTTCTTTTTGTTTGTTTGCATTTTACAGGGGTAAACACAAAAAGCCTGTGAACTTAAAAGGGACAGAAAAAGATACTGGCTTTGAGGCATAGAGAGGTTCCAACAAATTTAAACTCTGCTTGCTATCGATGAAAATTATGTAAACGCCTTTCTCCACTTGTGAATATTCATTGAGATGTAACCAAGCTGAGGTCGGAATTCAGAGTACTTGATTTTACTTAGCATCTTCAGAAAAGGGTATTTTGTGTATTGTCATCATTAGAGTTTAAATGCATAAACATATTTGTGGGTTTTAGACCTATGGGGGTGGCTTTATATATTATATTAAATTAAAAACATTTTGGTAGGGCAGACCATGTATGTACATTTTGAATTCTTAAGAGTTTGGCAGTTTTTGGCTAACAAAATTCACCTGCAATAAAATAGTATGTTAAGACTAAAATTATATTTTAGAAATTTCTGATAATATATCAAAATGATAAAAACCTTAAATTTAAATAAGTATACATGTATTAAATATAAACGAGTACAATGTTTATCATTTAGACTTTGTTCCTAAACTGGATAACACTGCCACCTTGTGGCAAAATGGGATTATTGATGCTTTCATTTAAATATTTCAAAAAACTATTTTTTCCCTGAAAGCATACCAGCTACAGTGTGGAAATAATTTGCATGGCTGATAGAGGCAGTCTCATTCTGTGTTTCTAGAATGGGGCAAGTCTGATAATAAGTAACTGTGAGCAAGAATATGCACTTTTGGTGTGTCCCCTTAAAATCACAATTGCATAATGTTCAAAACCAGCATTAAAAAGGAAAACAAACAAACAAACATGTAAATAACCTTCATGTGCTGTAAAGGCTAATAAGCCAAAATACAAAAGAAACTTGCTAACAGTTCTAGATCACTAAACTGTAATTTCTCGTTTTTCCCTTTTATGGAAGGCATCAACCAGAAAACTAATGAGTGCCTTCTCCTGTAAAAAAGCAAAAAACAAACAAACAAACAAAAAGAAACATCATTCATCCCCACAATAAATTATGTAAGTTGTTTGATTTTGTAAAGCAAAGAACAAAACTCCTTCACCTCTTTCCTGGCATTTCAGAAAAAACAAAATGATAACTGGGTTTTCCTTATTTTGTCTGGACTTTCAGTTGTGTGACAAATCAAGTTACCTAACCTCCTGAATCTCAGTTCCTTTACCTGAAAAATGAACATAATAATATCAGCGACCTCACTGGGATGTTGTGAGGATTAAATGAGTTAATATGAGTAAATTGCTCCTTAGAACATGCCTAACATTCATAAAAGCATTCATGAAATTTTAGCTCTCATCATTTTTACAGGTGGACCAAGATCAGGAATGTATCTACATCTAATTTGTGTTAGGGTTGGCATAGTTCTGTGATGTGACTTGATTTTTCTGTCGTGCTAAGAAGGTGGGCTCTCTATGTTCCATTTACAGCTAGTATGGGCCAAATGGTGATTGTACTCTAGTTTTATTTGAGCCTTCCTTCTATGCAATGGGCTTTGGACTCTGTTCCCATTTTGGCATGTATTAGATCTGGGAAAATTAATCTTTCTGAGTCCCAGTTTCTTTCTTGATAAAATGGGGAACAAGAGTACATATCTCACTGGGTTGTTTTGATGACTAAATGAATATATACATACATAAAGTCCTTTCAGCAAAGTGTGAGACTTAGAACAGCTTCAACCCATGTTCTCTGGTATGTTTAAAAACTAAAAGACACTCCATCTACAACATTATTAGCACCAGTTATATAATATACATTGCTGAGGAAGTGAGCCAACAGGTAAAATGATGGCAGAAGGCATTGTGCCAGGGGAGGGGGGTTAAAGGACAATATACCTGATCTTACAGATGTTGTGGAGAATAAGTATAGTGTGTGTAAGAGGCAGGAAAGTATGATGGTAAAAATCCTGGAATTGGAATCAGAGAGAGCTGTGTCTGAATTCAGTCTCTTTGCCAACTGTTCAGGCCTTGGTTAGGTTATGAAATCTTTTGAACCACTTTCCTTAGAATTGGGGATGATAGGGTTGCTATGGAATTGAATGAGAATATGTAAAGTGCTACCCACTGAACCTGGGTCATAAAATAACTCAATAAATAGTGGTCATAGTTATTCTTAATTATTTGTGAAGAAAAATTTTCTTCATTAGGGACTTGAATCCCTCATTAGGAGAAGTCTTTTAAGCATTATAGCTTCTATGGTGTGAGGAAAAGGTAGTAAATAGAAGTCAGAACAGAAATAGGAAGTGAATTATTTCAGGGTTGGGGTATGGGGAAAGTAGAAAGGTTTACAGCAAGTATCTTTGAGCAAGGTGGTTAAAACACTAGGCACTCTTGGGGTCAGTGCCAAGCACAGGCTCTGAGACTCTTGCCAGCTTTTTTGCTTCACCCTCTTAAACTCTGAGAGGAAGAAATAGTGGTCAAGCGAGCCCTGTCTTGCCTCTCCCTCACCACATGGGGGAGCACGTACACACGTAGGTAATGGCATTGTGACTTCACTATGACGCAGTGAAGGTGCAAGGTGGTGAGGCAGTAATACTCCTCCAGGGTCATTTTCTACTCCCTGTCCCTTCCAGCATGTTGGCAGGGAAAGGCCAGATGACAATCTGAAACCCAGCCAAGCCTACAGCTGTTACAGCTGGATGAAGTCAACTCCAGCGAAACGGAGGCATCAATAATCTTCTTTAGGTAGCCCTCCTTTATTTTTGCCATCCTCATCTAGATAGAGGGGTATCTCGAAGTACGAATCAAATTGAGAAAAACCAGAAACATCCTACAGCCTCCCACCACAGCACTTTAGTTAAGGGCTCCTGTTACATCAAGAGACTTACTCACTGGCCAACCAGTCGTCTGCCAGCCCATCATCCACCAACCAGTTCTAAGTCAGTCAGGCCTTGGCCAACCAGTTCTCAGCCAACCAGACACGAATCAACTGGGCATGAACCAATCAATCACAAGCCTACCAGACATTAACCAACCAGGCGTCAGACAACCAGGCATGAGCCAATTAAGCAGGAGCCAACCGGACACAAACCAACAGGGCATGAAGCAACCAGGCATGTGGCAATCAGGCCCATGCCAAATAAGCACAAGGCAACCTGGCACGTGGCAACAAGGCCGAAGCCAATCAATCATGACTCAGCCAGGAACGAGGCAAGCAGGCATGAGACAATCAGACCTGAGCCAATCAAGCATGAGCCTACCAAGCCTGAGGCAACCAGCATGAGCCTACCAAGCCTGAGGCAACCAAGCCTGAGCCAATCAGGCACAAGTCAACCAGGCCCAAGCCTATCAGGCATAAGCCAAACAGGCAGGAGCCAACCAGGTATGTGGCAACCAGGCCCTAGCCAACCACATCTCAGCCAACCAGACATGAGGCAACCGGGCATGAGGCAACCAAGAGGGAGCCAATCAGGTGTCAGGCAATCAAGCTTGATTTCTTTCCGAGTAAGACCTGCGGAGGCTCAAGACTGCCTGGAAATCCTGCGTCTAATTAAAGTAAGCTGCTTTCTTCTCATTCCATGGAGCTTCACGGCACTAATTTAGGGCTTAGCGTAAGGAAGGCAAAGGCTGGGTTTGAATCCTAGCTCTGCTAATTACGACCCATATATACAAGCTTCTGGAGGTTACATAACCTCTATAAGCTTCAATTTACACATCTAAAATCAAGACCACAGTACTATCTATATTGAAAGATTGTTGTAATGATTCAGTAATGTAAAATGATTACACATAAGTTGCTTGACTTATAGTAGGGGGCTCAACAAATCATGGGGGAATCAATTTACGAATATTTCAGGGACCTATTGTGTTGTTCCTCTTGGGGAAATTTTAACTTTAAAAGAGGATCTTGGATAAAAGGAATGCTTAACTCAAATGAATGACCTGTCAGTGATAGAATTTCAGATATTAATGGCTAAGATTTTAGGGTAGGGCATCTTGCTCTGAAGACCACATGTACTTGTAGAAGCTAATGATTGTCCAGAAAACATTATTCATCCACAACAAATTTTCTGTATAATTTCAGACAGTTCTTTGACTCCGGAAGTCCATCCAGAGATAGCTGCCCAGGAGTCCAAAGAGCTGGGTTAAAAATTTCTGATTTAAAAGTTCATTTTAATGGCTTTCCTGGAAATCATCCCAACACAGTAAAGGGAACAAACTAATAGCTATAGCTACTGCGCTGAAGTTCTGTGGCACTCAAGGCAATCATTTAATGTGACGCACAGCCTAGACAATTCCACATAAAAGCCTGTATAATAGCAGTAGCCTAGATTTATTTTAATGGAATAAATATGTGGCTGGAACAAGGCACAGGTTATAGGTAAGGAAATCTTATGAAAGAGTTTTGTAATGAAAATGTTTCCGTCTACTAATATATTTAATCTCATTTAAATAAGGCTAAATTTCTGTTTTAGTGGGCAAAATAAAATACCAGAAGTTTTCCAGTGAAATCCATCTGCTGAAATGGTGCAGATCTGTAAGAACTGGGTTATCTGTCTTTCCATGCCTTCCATTCTTTTCTGTCCCCACAAGTTCCCACATCATTTCTCTAACTGGCATTAATCTGCATGACTAGCTCATTGATCAAAAGACTATGCCCAACATGTTAATTATGCTGGAAGCACATTTTTCTAGGTAGAAAAATTTTAAAGAGATTTTGTAGTTTAGTACCTGACACCCAGGTAGCAATTAATAGATTTATGATTGAATGACAGCGAATCTCTCTGTCCAGAAAACGTACCTACGTTATCTTTCCAAACAATGCCCTTTGTAATCACCAAAGGTAAAATACATCACTAGATTCTCCCACTTCAATGAACCTGTGTCTTGAAGTTCCTGACGACATTTACTTTTGAATTTGCCTCTTGTACCTGAATATACACTAGATGTTTCTTGGAAAAATTTTTTAATGGATATTCATTGCAGAAAATAATAAGAAAGCTAAATTACTCTGCATCATAGACATGAATATAATTATTAATTAGCTCTGAGCTTTATATTCTTCTCTAATACATGCATGTCCATTCATCCTAACTCCTATTCATAGCTAGCTTTGCAAAGCATTCTCTCTTTCCAAAGGGATCTATGAGAGTTTGCCATCAGAGCAATTCATTCCTTAGCTGAGTATTTTGCAGGTTTTATTTACTGTCCTGTCACTAAAATTCTTCCAAGTGTCCTCTGTATGCATCCGGTTTATCCTATTCTTGATCACCACACCAAAGCATTATTTGGGGATCTAGTCACTTTATAGCTAGGCAGCTATAACTTTTGCTTACCAGACTTTCCATTTAAAGCCTTTTATCATGGTGGTTCTCAAAGTGTGGTTTTTGGACCATTGGTGATCCATAGATAAGTACTATGCACTATAATATCTGATTTTTGCTCATTATGCAGACATTGAGTGCGTACTAGGGGAAGGCCATGTGCTAAGTACTATAAAGGATATCAGATTATTGAATTATACTCACTGCCCTCAAAGAGCTTACAGTGTCTCAGGGAAGGTGCTCTAAATGGTAGCCAAATGCTCAAACTCCATTGGACTTTGGTTGCCCTGAGAATAAAATCCAAATTTCTCACCAACACTCTACATAATCTGGCCCTTGCTGTCTTCCTTATATATTTAAAAAGTTTTTTCTATTATAAATTTAATGCAATTCCAGTCAAAATCCTCAAATTTTCACGTGGAAGAATAAGTATGTGTTTTTAGAAAAACTCCAAAAACATTTATGTGGAAGGGTTATCCTTACCAGATATTATAAAGCTGTAAGTAATTAAAATACTATGGTAATCTATTACCATAGATGCAGAGATAGAGCATTGGAACAGAATGGAGAATCCAGATGTCCTCTTAAGTATATATGAGAATGTGGTACATGATAAAGTGGACATTTCAAGTCAGTTAATAAAAGATGGGTTATAAAATAAACAGTGTTGGGATAATTGGGGGGGAAAGATTAAGGTGAAATTCTACCTTATTTTTTACACCAACCCCCTCCTCCTCAATTAATCAAGTATTAATATAAGGAACTTAAAACAGATTGGTGGTTGCTAGAGGCAGGGGTTGGGAGATGGGGAAAATGGGTGAAGGTAGTTAAAAAGTAAGGACTTCCAGCTATCAGATAAATAAGCTCTGGGGATGTAATGTACAGCATGGTGACTATAGTTAACAATACTGTATTGTATATTTGAAAGTTATTAAGAGAGTAGATCTTAAAAGTTGTCATCACAAGAAAAAATTGTAACTATGTGAGATCATGACGTTAACCAAACTTATGTGGCAGTCATTTTGCAATATATACATATATCAAATCATTATGTTGTACGTCTTGGACTAACACAATGTTATATGTCAATTATATCACAATAAAACTGGAAAAAATAAAATTAAATAATTTGTTAAGAAGGGAACAAAAGTGACTGTTTTTATAATTGCAAAGTGGGATTGCCTTTCAAAGCTTGAGATCCAAACCATTGAAGAATTAAAATGATATAGTTAAAAAGCCAAATAAAAAAGTTTAAAGCTAAACTGAGAAGAACACCTCACAAGCAAACACAACGGACTTTTCTGTAAAGTCTATGAGCTTTATAATACATAGACTTCGTGACATCCACCTCGAATACTCAGAAACACTTTTGGCTTTACTTCCTGATTTCTGGTTGTATTCAAGGCTAGTTACCTGGGCAGTTGACCTTCACAGAATTGATGTATCGACATAGTTAATCTCGCTCTCTATATATTCTTTTTGCTGCAGGTACGTTTTGGATTTTAAGTTTCTAGATGACTGGGGTTATGTCTGACTAACTTTTAATACTACCCAAGACATCCTATGTTATTAAATGCTCAATAAAAACTTCATGCTTATCATCTTAAGAATTTGTTACTAAACCATAAACTGAAAGTTTTCTCTACTTTGACAGGAATTGGCTGCCTGTGAAAACATGGTAGATGCAGTGAAGTTAACAGCAAAGGGTAAGGTGTTTTATGGTATTTTCAGAGCTAGAAAAAGAAACATGGCATAATGTATGCACAAAGCACTACTTGTACCTGGATATGTGGACGCTGCTGTCCTTGGTACACAAAGAAGTTGTCATTAATAGTATCTAGTTGTACAGGACATAAGTTTGATAGCTTTGTCAGTGCTCTACTATTTTTTATTTCCCCATTTTTAGTGTGAAATTGATATTTAAGAGCTTTTACATTTTACAGCGGGAATAGATTTCAACTAAATTTAACTAAATTTTGAAATGTAAAATGAGAAGTGTAGTTGGTCAAAGAAAGTATAATTTAATGCCCAGTATGTTAGTAGTAGCTTGATAGGATGAAATGGGTAAAGGCAAAATTACTTAAAATTATTTTCAAGATATTTACTACATTTTGATAGCCAGCAATATTAATAGGATAGGCTAGTGTTTTATGATGAATTGCAACATTTTAGGCAGGAAATGTGAACATTAAGAAAAGAGATGATTAAAGTGTACAGACAGTCTCTGACTTACTTATGGTTTAACTTAAGATTTTTGACTTTATAGTGGTTGGAAAGAAATACACATTCAGTAGAAACTGTACTTCGAAATTTTATCTTTTCCTGGTCTCACTATATGCAGTCGGATGCTCTCTCACGATGGTGGGCAGCAGCAGTGAGCCACAGCTCCCAGTCAGCCACGTGATCATGAGTGTAAACAGCTGATACACTTACAATCATTCTGTACCCATATAGCCAATCTGTTTTCACTTTCAGATAGTATTCAATAAATTACATGAGATATTCAACACTTTAGTATAAAATAGGCTTTGTGTTAGATGATTTTCCCCCAATTCTAGGCTAATGTAAGTGTTCTGAGCAGCTTTAAGGTAGGTTAGGCTAAGCTATGCTTTTCGGTAGGATAAGTGTATTAACGCATTTTCAACTTACGATATTTTCAACTTATTTTTGATGGGTTTATCAGGATGTAAACCCATCGTAAGTCAAGTGTATAAAATTATACACTTAGAATTTCAAGTGAATCTGAGGATTGGCTATACCATTCATGTGAAAAAGAATGTTAGAATTTTGATAGGGATGGCAATGAATCTTTAGATCACTTTGGGTAACACTGACATCTTTATATGTTAAGTCTTATCTATGAACATGGGATGTCATTTAATTTATTTAGGTCTTTAATTTCTTTCAACAATGTTTTATAATTTTTGGTATGCAAGTATTTCACCTCCTTGATTAGATTTATTCCTAGGTATTTTATTATTTTAGGGTCAATTGTAAATGGAATTGCTTTTTTTTAA